ACAGAACTTTTGGACTTTCCATTTGGTAGGAAGGGAAATCCTACTGTTGAAGGAAGAAAGAAAAGCAGGGAGAGAGAGAGAGAGAGGGAGGGAGAGAGAAAGAAAGAGAGGGAGAGAGAGAGGGAGAGAGAGAGGGAGAGCGCCAAGGAGGAAGGGAGGAAAGAAGGAAATCAAAGAAAAAATAAAGGGAAGGAAGGGAAAGAAGGAAATGTGGAGGGGAAGAGGACAGGAAAGAGGGCAGAAGGGGGAGTTCAGAGCGGGAAGAAGGTGCCTGGAGAGTCCCAGGTCGGGCTGGGGCTGGAGGAACAGCAGGATTCTTCCCGAACAAGTCCCTCTCTGCATGGCTTCTCTGCTCCTCTAGGGTTCTGTGGAAATTTGGTTTCAGATTTTAAACTTCTTTTATGACTATAAGAGACATACGATCGGCTGGCGCCACGGCTCACTAGGCTAATCCTCCACCTTGCGGCGCCGGCACCCCAGGTTCTAGTCCCGGTCAGGGTGCCGGATTCTGTCCCGGTTGCCCCTCTTCCAGGCCAGCTCTCTGCTGTGGCCAGGGAGTGCAGTGAAGGATGGCCCAAGTACTTGGGCCCTGCACCCCATGGGAGACCAGGATAAGTACCTGGCTCCTGCCATCGGATCAGCGCGGTGCGCCGACCGCAGCACGCCAGCCGTGGCGGCCATTGGAGGGTGAACCAATGGCAAAGGATGACCTTTCTCTCTTTCTCTCTCTCTCTCACTGTCCACTCTGCCTGTCAAAAAATAAAATAAAAAAATAAAAAAAGAGACATACGATCATTATAAATAACAGAAAGTGTGACAGATATAAAGAAACTAAAAAACACTCCCTGATCCTACTGACTGGTTGCCACCAAAAGTGTGTAACACAGCCTAGAGAGCCTGGACCTGCCACTTGGGACTGCTCCTCTTTCTACTCCAGTGCTCCAATCACAGCAATCTTGGTGCTCCTCACCACTTCCTGTCTCAGGGCTTTTGCACATACTCTATCGTTGCCCTACTGCCTGGAGCCTGTGTTCTTCTTCCCCTATCTTTTTTTTTTTTTTTTTTTTTTTTTTCTTGTCTTTTTTCATGACAGGCAGAGTGGACAGCGAGAGAGAGAGACAGAGAGAAAGGTCTTCCTTTTGCCGTTGGTTCACCCTCCAATGGCCGCCGCGGCCGGCGTGCTGCGGCCGGCGCACCGCGCTGATCCGATGGCAGGAGCCAGGAGCCAGGTGCTTTTCCTGGTCTCCCATGGAGTGCAGGGCCCAAGCACCTGGGCCATCCTCCACTGCACTCCCTGGCCACAGCAGAGAGCTGGCCTGGAAGAGGGGCAACCGGGACAGAATCCGGCACCCCAACCGGGACTAGAACCCGGTGTGCCGGCGCCGCTAGGCAGAGGATTAGCCTAGTGAGCCGCGGCGCCAGCCCCCCTATCTTCTTTTGAATCCTTCCAGTGTTACCTCCAACACTAAAGGTCTAACTTTCCCCACCACCCATTTTCTAGTATACCATTGAGTTTATTTCTTAACAGTCTTCATGCTATAAACTGAATGCAGTATCCCCTTAAAATTCATATGTTGAAATCCTAACCCTCAATGTGATGGTATCAGGAGGTGGGACTTAGGTCATGGGGTCCCCACAAATGGGATTTTTGCTTTATAAGGAGCTGAAGAGACTAGAGCTTGCCTTTCTCTGCTGTGTAACCTTGTCATGAGGTTACAGTGGAAAGACTATCTGAACAAGGAACTGAGCTCTGAACAGACACAGAATCTGCTGGTGCCTTGTTCTGGGACTTCCAAGGCCCCAGAACTGTGAGAGAAAGAAGTTTTTGTTGTTTATAAGCCACCCAGTTTATGGTACTTTTATTGTAGCAGATCAAACAGACTGACACATTTTATAAGGACCTGAATATATTGTCCCTACTGGTTCATTTGTTTAATTGTGGTCTCCTCCAGCTGCAAGGGAAACCCCATGAGAACAAGGACATCCACACTGTATTGTTTCTGGCCATGAGACCTAGTACATAACAGGTGTTCAATATGGGTCTATATTGATCAATGCCTTTTTCTTTCTAATACTTTTCCATGTAGCTGAGCTTTACTCTCAGTTAAATGAGAGTAAAGATTATGAAATTCACTTTCTAAATGAAGAAACAGAGGCTCATAGAGATGAGAGTTGCTGCTTAAGGTTACAAAGCCAATTGCTGCTGGATATGGGCCTGGAACATCCAGGTCACTGTCATCATTCTGCCTCCTGGATGCTGTGTTTTAAGCTGAAGATTTTTTCCATTTGCTTTTTCTGTCTTGGAAAATGTGCTCTTGGCCTGTCATCCCCAGAAGGAGAAATTGATGACTGGTGGCTTGATTCTTTTCATAAAGCTGCTTAATCATCTTTTTGTGCAGTCTGTGACAGAAGGGCCTTTAATGAACTTGACCTGTACAGTCCTAAGGTCAGCAGGAGGGCCAGAGAGGGAGAAAAATTTTGGACAGATCTCCGTTCACTCATGGAGTGAGTCAACCCACAAGGTCGAGCTGTCTTAGAGCCATCGATCTTTGGGGAGGTGTTTGTCCTTTCTAGCAATTTTCTGTATTATGGCATGATGTGGAGGTAGGATTGTTCTTGTCTTAGCCCAGTGGTACAGAATCAGTTGACCACCCAAAGAGCTCTCATGAGTCAAGTTCATTTCTACTTACACTGGTGGAAACTTCCAGAGACTACATTCTGGGTAAGCAGTATAGTTTTGAGTCTTGAACATGGGTACATAACCTGAACAGGCCATGGCACTTGAGCAAAAGTCTCATGGGTGGGGAATGGGAGTTCCTGGTAAAGATTTGATCTAAGATTATGATGTGAGGGAGAGGAAGCTCTCTTCCCCCTTCCTGCTCGTGAACAAGGCTGTGTGATGATGTGGTTTTTTTGAGGGGAGGCTACCTTGGTCATCTCGCAGTCACGAGAGCAACATCATTGTGCTGAGGACAGCAGGGTGGAAAGTATGCAGACACTTGGACATCAGTGACTTTACTGAGCCTTCCTCTGGACGTCTTCTGTCACTTCTTAGTTGGGTGATTTCTGCCAACTTGAAATAGTCAAATGTATCCTAAAATAAATTTTCCATTTGGACACAGAGGGTCCTATCTACAGCTTGCTATGTTATTCAAATGGAAACTGGGTTTTCCCAGACCCTGCCTGACTGTGGACAGGGTGAGGTCCTATTTATGGTAATAACCTTAAATCTTCAACAGTTCTGGTTCCTACCAGCATGAGGCAGGACCTCCTATAGTCACATCCCCCACATGGACTCACATGGTTATTTCTGATAGTCTTCAGGGCTCTCTCAGCTGGGCTCAAGAACCAGTGTCATGTTTTTCTGCTTCACTTCCTTGGTTGTGTTTGCCTCTTGTGAAGCCTTTGACGCTAGGGTTCTACTTCTCATTGTCACCTCTCCTGTTGGTGTGGGAAGAGCAGGAAGGAAGGAGTGAAGAGATCTGCTTTGTATCTGGACTCTGCACTTAATCATGAAATGCCCTTGGATGAGGTCTTTCTCCTTTCTGGGGCCCAGTTACCATCTGGACCATGATGAGGTAGGTGGACAATGTCATCTCTGAAGAGCATCTGCATAATATGTTTGCTGAGATCCCAAGTGCCTGTCCCCAGAGCTTAGCTCTGCAGTGTAGGGGCCAGCAGGGAGCACAGTCCCTGTATCTCCTCCTCTGACTGACTCACAGCCATATGCCCTGCCCTTATCTGCAAGGCCAATGGGCAGAGCAGGGCCTGCCAGGAGCCTACTGCAGGTAGGCGTTGGCAATGGGGAGGTTGGCTGGTGCCAGCAGGCCTGAAAACACTTGAGAGCTGCTCCTCTACATCAAAATCAAAACAAGGCCATAGTCTGTACTTGGAATGCAGACACCTGGGGATCTACCCCATCGAAGTTTCCTTCAGCAGAGACCTACAGACTAAGTAGGCATTTACCTGGGGCTGAGAGAGGGGGTAGAGGAAGGGAACTGCAAGCCCAGTCCCCGAGATAGGGGTGACTTAGTCAGCTCCAGCTGTTATAACAAGAATGTCACAAACTGTATGGCTTAAAAACAAGCACTTATTTCTCATTGTTCTCTTGGCTGAGGAGCCCAAGATTAGGGTAAGGTTCTGGTGAAAGCTTTCCTGGTTTCCCTACATGGTGGGGGTGGGATTGGGGTGGGCAGAGGGCTCTGTTCCCTTCATCTCCTTACAAGGACACTAATCCCATCACGAGGTTCCACTCTCCAACCAACCCTAATTACTTTCCAAAGACCCCCACCACTAAATGACACCACACTGGGGATTAAGGCTTCAACACATGAATTTGGGGTTTGGGGGGACTCATACAGTCTTCAGCAGGCAGACAGTGTGATGTTTGAGTGCCTGGAAAGTGTGAGTGAGAGAGCCATGGTGATGGGCTGCAGGAGGCAAGAGCCAGCCTGCACAGGACCTGAGACCAGTGTGGGAGGTTTTCATCAGAGAGGGTACACACCCAGAATGTGGCTGCAGTGGGAGGAAGTATGGAGCTGAGCCAGACAGGACATGTGGTTCTGGGCGGGAAGTTCACACAATCTCTGTCCTAGCTGGGGGGCAGAGATGGAGGAAATTGGGTGGGTTTGAAATATACGTGGAGTGGGGTGAGCATTGTGCTGCAGTGGGTTAAGTAGCACAGGGGATGCCCACATCCAATATCCGAGTGTGAATTTGAGTCCTGGCTACTCTGCTTGCAACCCAGCTTCCTGCTTATGCATCCTGGAGGCAGCAGATGATGGCGCAAATGCTTGAGCTCCTGCCACCCACGTGGGAAACCTGGATGGACTTCCAGGCTTCTCTCTCTCGGCCTTTCAGATAGCCAGGAACAAATAAGGAAACTTCAAAGAAAGAGAGCTATACAGAGGGGAAGCCTCACAGCGTCTGGTGCTAGCTTGGTTACAGACAGTGTGAGACGGGGAAGCATCAGAGTGACTCCTTGGTTCTGGGTTTTGCAGCTGTGTGGAAGATGGTGTCATTGACAAGATGGGGCGCTCTGGAGGAGGACAGGTCTTCAGGGATGCTCAAGTTCAAATTGTACAGAAAGAACTCAAGGTACATTAGGGCTATCTAAGTGGGGGTGCTGCTAGGGGGTTATGTGAATGGCAAACCCAGCCATGCAAGGTTTGCTGACCATGGAGCAGCTACTGAACCTGATTCTGAGAGAAATGAGAACACTTGGAAAGGCTTTAAGCGCAAGGGGACATGATAGGCCATGTTTTGGCTCTGCTGTGAGAGTAGATGGGAAGAGCAGAGGTGTTGGGGCTCGGGCACCTTTGAGTATGTGGCAAGAACAGCGGGGATGCTCCTGAGACTATGGAGAAGAGAAGAGTGAATGCGGCTCCAGGCTCCTCACTGTCCCACGGGACACGGGCAGGCTGAATCTCATGTTCTCTGGACCTGGCCTCCCCATTGAAAATAAACAGATTTCCTTGGGCAAAGGCATCCAAGTTTGTGATGGGTGCATCTGTTGCCCTCCAGACCTCCCCCAGGCACAGGTCAGCATTTCTAGGTAAGGGAGGCTGCAGAAGAGTCTCTGCAGGGCCGGTGACAGGTTCCAGGCTGCTGGGGGCCAGCGGATAACAGAGGTCCTTCCCCTTGCTTGCCTGTGCTTCGGAAGGGAGGTTAGGATTATTATTATTTTTTTTTTGACAGGCAGAGTGGACAGTGAGACAGAGAGAAAGGTCTTCCTTTGCCGTTGGTTCACCCTCCAATGGCCACCGCGGCTGGTGTGCTGTGGCCGGCGCACCGCGGTGATCCGATGGCAGGAGCCAGGTACTTATCCTGGTCTCCCATGGGGTGCAGGGTCCAAGTACTTGGGCCATCCTCCACTGCACTTCCCTGGCCACAGCAGAGAGCTGGCCTGGAAGAGGGGCAACTGGGACAGAATCTGGCACCCCAACCAGGACTAGAACCCGGTGTGCCGGCGCCGCAAGGTGGAGGATTAGCCTAGTGAGCTGTGGCGCCGGCCGGGAGGTTAGGATTTACAAGAGAAAGGCAGGTAGCAGAAGGCAGCTCTCTGTAATTGCATTTCTGCACCTCACAGCTCCCTACTGGGTCCTTCCCTTGCAAAGTCACCATGGAAGAAAACTGTCTCTAAGATTGGTTACAGGGGTTCCTGGTTCCACAGAAGCCAGGACTTGGAAATAGTGGCTTGCTGATGGCTCTATCCCTATTAAGTCATCACAGTGTTTTTTTTTTTTTTTTTTTTTTTTTTTTTTTTTTTTGACAGGCAGAGTGGACAGCGAGAGAGAGAGAGAGAGAGAGAAAGGTCTTCCTTTGCCGTTGGTTCACCCTCCAATGGCCGCCGCGGCCGGCGCGCTGCGGCCGGCGCACCGCGGTGATCCGATGGCAGGAGCCAGGAGCCAGGTGCTTTTCCTGGTCTCCCATGGGGTGCAGGGCCCAAGCACTTGGGCCATCCTCCACTGCACTCCCTGGCCACAGCAGAGAGCTGGCCTGGAAGAGGGGCAACCGGGACAGAATCCGGCACCCCAACCGGGACTAGAACCCGGTGTGCCGGCGCCGCTAGGCGGAGGATTAGCCTAGTGAGCCGCGGCGCCGGCTGTGTTTTTTTTTTTTTTTTTTTAAAGATTTATTTATGTATTTGAAAGTCAGGGTTACACAGAGTTACACAGAGAGAGAAGGAGAGGCAGAGTAAGAGAGAGAGGTCTTCCATTCGCTGGTTCACTCCCCAATTGGCTGCAACAGCAGGAGCTGCGCTGATCTGAAGCCAGGAGCTAGGAGCTTCCTCAGGGTCTCCCACATGCGTGCAAAAGGGCCCAAGGACTGGGATCATCTTCTACTGCTTTCCCAGGCCATAGCAGAGAGCTGGATCAGAAGAGGAGCAGCTGGGACTCGAACTGGCATCCATATGGGATGCCAGCACTGCAGGCAGAGGTTTTACCCGCTACACCACAGCACCGGCCCCAGATCTTCACACTTTAAATCTTATCTTGGCACCTGCTTCTTGGGGATCCTGTTTTTGTTGAGAGACCTTTATGCCGCTGTTTATCTCACAGTTTCCAGCAACTGCTCCTGCCTCTTGCCTTTCAGCTGTGATTCTCTTTATTGCTACTTCCTAGGTGCTGTTTCCCTTGGCCCTGTCTTCAACTTTTCAAGTCCCATCATTTCATTCCATTGAGCTACCATTCTGGAATGTACCACTTGTTTCTCGGATTTACACGGTACTCCAGGCTCAGAGAAGAGTGTGTTCAATGGCCTGATGTGGGTGAAAGTTGGTGGTGTTTGAGGAACTTGAGAACAGTCACTGTAGCTGAAGTGCAAAGAGGGCATAAGGAGAGAAATACAGGCAGAGGAGCCTGTCTCCAAGAAGCATGGGAAAGCCTTTGAAGAATTTTAAGTGAAGAGGTAATAATATGACACTTGCATCTTGAGAAGCTAATTCTCTTTGTGTTGTGACAAATGGATTTGGGGTGGCTATGGAGTTGACACAGGAAGAATAGTTAGGAAACCATTGCAATGGTTCAGGTGAGAGAACACAGTAGCTTGGACCAGGATGGTGGTAATGACAATGAGTAGAGGAGAACTGGCAACACTTGAAGGTGTACTGGAAATTTGGCTTCTGGAAGAAATGAAAAGAGTAACTCTTAGACTCTACACTATATACTTGCATGGAAGAACATAGATGCCATTTATTGAGACACTTTTATTAGAAGATAGGGTTTTTGTTTGTTTTGTTTTGTTTTATTTTGCTTTAGGAGCTCAGGAGTCTGACCTTGGACATGTTGAGTTTGAGGTGCCATTGAGACTGTCAAGTGGAGAGACAGGGGAGTAACTGGACCTACTTCTGTGAAACCACAATGAAGGGAGGTCTTGAGTGGAGATAAACATTTTAATGTCATTTATTAATCCATGAGCTTTAAAGAGATTTATTGGAAAGTGAGAAAAAATTAGAAGAAATGACATTTTAGTATCAACATGACCTTGAATTTGGCAATGGATTCTTAGATAGGACATAAAACACATGAGCAACAAAAGAAAAAAAATATAAATTAGACTTCATCGAAATAAAAACCTTTTGCATCACAGGACATTATCAACAAAGTGAAGAGACAATCTACGGTATGGGGGAAACTGTTGGAAAATAATATATTTGTCAAGAGTTAAATATTCAGAATCTATAAAGAACTCCTGGGACTCAAAATCAGAAACACAGACAATCTAATTTAAAAATGGACAAAGTACTTGAATAGACTTCTCCGAAGAAGACACACAAATGGCTGATAAGCCCATGAAAAGAGGCTCAACATTTGTCACTGGGGAGATGCAAGTCAAACCCCAATGATTCCTTCTCAGAGTTACTAGAATGTCTATAATAAAAACACGGAAAATAACTGTTGGCAAGGATGTGAAATTGGAACTCTTGTGAATTGCTGGTGGAAATGTAAAATGGTGCAACCACGGTGGACAATGATTCAGCAGTTCCTCCAAAAGCTAAACATAGGATTAACATATTGTCCAGCAATTCTACTCCTAGGTAGTCATTCAAATGAATTTAAAGTAAAGACTTGTATGCCAATATACAAGAAAATAACTGTGTACCCATGTCCATTATAGCATTATTTACAATAGTCAAAAGGTCATCAAAAGATGGATGGATTGAATTAAAAGTGGAATATATGTACAATGGGATATCATTCAGACATAAACAGCAATGAAGTTCAGATACATGTTATAACAGGATGACCCTTGCAGCATTCAACTAAGTGAAATAATGCATGCATGAAAGGACAAATATTGTATAATGCCAGTTAAATGAGAAATCAAGAATAGCAATTTCATAGAGACAGAAAGTAGAATGGAGTTTACTAGGGGTTGGGGTGGAAAAATTGGAAATTATTGTTTAATGGCTACAGAGTTTCCACTTGGGTGATGAAAATGTTTTATAAATATGAGTAGATAGTGGTAATGGTTGTATAATAAAATGAATGCCACTGAATCATATGCTTAAAATGATTCAAATGGAAAATTTTGCTATATGTATTTTATCATAATTTTAAAGATTAATGTAATATATAAAAGATCATTGAATTGTACACATTAAATAGGTGAATTTTGTGGTATGTGAATTATGTCTTCATAAATCTGATTTTTTTTATAAAGGCTTTAGGGCTGAGCCTTGAGGAACACCATCATTTAATGGTCCAGTAGAGGAGAGGAGATCCTCCAGGTGACTGAGCACAAAAGTCCAGGTTGGCGGAGAGAAATTCAGAGCTCAAGGTGCAACAGGAGTCATCGAGGGAGGGCTTTAAGCACCTGGGAAAGGCCAAGAGGTCAAGTGCTGGTGGATTCAGCAAGATGAACTCACTGGGGATCTTGGTGAGACTTTTAGTGAAATGAGTGGAAGAGGAAGAATTGCTATCAATGAGTAAAGCCACATTGTGTTTCATCTCTTCTCCTTGATTTTGGGACTATACATGGGGGCTGGGCTGACCTATTCCCTGGGAAGGTGATTTGCAGCCGCTTGCTTGCTCTCTGGGTTGCTGCACAGGCTCTCCCTGCCTAACTGTTGCTAGATCTTATGGCCTCTGCCACCTTTGTGTTCCAATGTACCGTGCCTAAAAACTGACCCTGTGTCTCCTTTTTTTTTTTTTTTAAAGAATACAAACTGCATGCATTTCATATATTTTTTAGGAATATAGTGATTCTCCCCACTCCACCCTCCCTTCCACCTGCCTTCCTCCTCCCTATCCTATTCCTATTCTTATTTATACAAAGATCAGTTAATATTACACTCATAAGATTAATCCTACACTAAGTAAAGAGTTTAACAAATAGTATAAAGAAAAAAAACACTGTTCCTCAACAGTCAAGAAAAAGGCTGTTCAAAATCCTTGCATCTCAAAGTGTCAATTTCACTCCTATTATATTACCTTTTAAGTCTCTATTGGGACCACAGATCAGAGAGAACATACGGTATTTGTCTTTTGGGGACTGGCTTATTTTACTAAGTATAATGATTTCCAGTTGCATCCATTTTGTTGCAAATGACAAAATTTCATTTTTTTTTACTGTTGTGTAGTATTCCATTGTGTATATACACCATATTTTTTTTCATCCAGTCTTTGGTTGATGGACATCTGGATTGATTCCATATCTTAGCTTTTGTGAATTGATCTGCAATAAACACGAAGGTACAGCTCACTCTCTCATATGCTGATTTCTTTATGTTTGGGTAAATGCCCAAGAATGGGATGGCTGGGTCATATGGTAGGTCTATACTGAGATTTCTGAGGTATCTCCATCCTGTCTTCCATAGTGGCTGCACCAATTTACATTCCCACCAGCAGTGGATTAGGGTACCTTTTCCCCACATCCTTGCCACATTTGTCGTTTGTTGATTTTTGTATGTCCTGCATAGCTTTTTAAAAGTTTTATTTGAAAGGCAAAGTGAGGGGGAGAGAGAGAGAGAGAGAGAGAGAGAGAGAGAAATGTCTTCTATCTACTGCTTTACTTCCTGAGTGCCAGCAACAGTTAGGGTTTTGCCAGGTCATCCAGTCAAGGGACTGGAACTCCATCAGATTTTCCACACAGGCGGCCATCATCAAGTACCTGCTGCCTCCCCGGATGCATTTTAGCAGAAAGCTGAGGGGCCAGAACTTGACCCAGACTCTCCAATACGGGATGTGAGTGCCCCAAACCAGGACTTGGTGCAGCAAATGCTGCCCTCTGAGAGCCATCCTTTGAAAACCACTTTTCTCCCACTCCTGATGAGCCTGTGTTCTGGGATGGTAATAGCATCAATCAAGAATAACCTTGTAATTTGTTAATGCTACAAGAGTCAATCTGGAATATTGTGGAAATTATTGGAAAAGAGCAATTCTTGTTCCTTTTGTTGTTATACTGGGAGTGCTTTCTGGGACCATCCATGAAGAGGATTCAAAAGCTGACATGGGAAGAAAGCTGAGCTGAGAGAAAGGAGAGAAGGAGGTAGATGAGGTGCTGGTGACATCACGTGAGCCCTGGATGCAGCTGTGCTCCTGAATGGTTCAGGTGTGCGAGCTAATTGAAACTGTTTTTTAAAAAATATTTATTTATTTATTTGAAAGTCAGAGTTACACAGAGAGAAAAGGAGAGGTGGAGAGAGAGGTCTTCCATCCACTGGTTCACTCCCCAGTTGGCCACAACGGCAGGAGCTACACTGATCCAAAGCCAGGAGCCAGGAGCTTCTTCTAGGTCTCCCACATGGGTGCAGGGGCCCAAGGACTTGGACCATCTTCTACTGCTTTCCCAGGCCAGAGCAGAGCTGGATCGGAAATAGAACAGCCGGGACTCAGCTGGTGTCCATATGAGATGCCAGCACTGCAGGTGTCAGCTTTACCTGCTATGCCACAGTGCCAGCTCCTTTATTTATTTATTTTAAAAATATTTATGTGATTAAGATGAGACGCTATTCTCTAGAACAAGTTTCTGTGGTGCTGGAGATTCTGAGAAAAATACGTATGTGTTAACTATGAAGAAAGCTGAACGAACAGGACCAATGAGGAGAGATTAGAGAAAATTTCCACTCATCGTAAGGGTGCAAATTCTGATAGGCAGCAATTTCCAGGGATGGGATGGGTTTCCCTGGGAGCACGCTGAGGCTGGATGGCTGTAAGCCAGGAATACTGCAGTGAGGTTACGAATGTGTCTTCCTGTTTTATGTATGAACTTGACTAGGCCGTGAGATGCCCAGATAGTTCATTAAACACTATTTCTGGATGTGTCTGGGAGGGCTTTTCTGGGTTGCTGTGTAAGAATGCTGACTAGCCTCCCAGTGTGGAAGGGCCTCACTCCATCTGACGCTAACAGCAAGGCTGGGTGGGGGGACAGTCACAGCATCTGGCTTCCTCTGGGCAGGTGCATTGGCCTTCTCCTGCATTTGGACTCAGACTGGCTCTCCTGCTTCGCAGGCCTTCTGACCCGTGCTGGAACTTCATCGTTAGCTCTCTTGGGGGCCCCTGCTTGCTGACCACAGATCTGGGGACTGCTTAGCCTCCGCACTCACGTGAGCGATTTCTTGTATTAAGTCTCTCTTTTCCTTCCTCCCTACTCCCTCCCTCAATCTCTTCTTGGTGCTGTTTCTCTGGAGAACCATGACTGCTACAACATCATAGACAAAATGGCAAGATGCTCTCAGAGTTCTCCTGGGATTCTACAGTTTGTCCTCTGGAGGTGCCTGTGCCTTTGGTCATGGGGCAGCTGCTGACCTGTTCTCCCAGATGCAGGCACAGACGCAGCTGCTTCTGTTTCCCTTTCTTTAGTGTGTGTCTCTGAGTCAGTTATTTCCAGGCAGGGACTTGAAATCGCAGGTGAAACTGCTTAGTGATACAAAGAGGCGCTGCTTGGCGCGATGCAGGCAAACAGGTGGAGAGGAATACTTTTTTTGTTTGTTTTGTTTTGACAGGCAGAGTGGACAGTGAGAGAGAGAGAGACAGAGAGAAAGGTCTTCCTTTGCCGTTGGTTCACCCTCCAATGGCCACCGTGGGCAGCGCGCTGCCGCCGGCGCACCGCGCTGATCCGAAGGCAGGAGCCAGGTGCTTCTCCTGGTCTCCCATGGGGTGCAGGGCCCAAGCACTTGGGCCATCCTCTACTGCACTCCTGGGCCATAGCAGAGAGCTGGCCTGGAAGAGGGGCAACCGGGACAGAATCTGGCACCCTGACCGCGACTAGAACCCGGTGTGCCGGCACCGCAAGGCGGAGGATTAGCCTAGTAAGCCGCGGCGCCGGCCGAGAGGAATACTTTTGTGTCCTGATCTTTCAGGGGCATGACTTGGGTGAAGAAGCAGTTGGCGGACAAGAGGGGTTAGAGCAGAGGCACAGTCTTCCCAGGGCCCGCTGGCTGCTGCTGGCTTTTTCTGTCTCATCCGTCTTCTCTGGCCTACACTGACTCTGGTGAAATGACTTTGATGTAGGGGAGCGGGTACTGATCAAAGAGGAATGGAGGACGGCCAGCACCTGTGGGCACAGTCCTGAACCCCATTCCCTTCCATGCAGACACATTTGCCAGGGTTGTGCTGGCTGGGTGCCCGCAATGAGAATGAAATGACCGTGACTGGCACACACACTGCCATCGTGCTCCTGAACCCCTCTCCTGACCTGCACCTGCTGCTGTGACACTTCTGAGATTTCCCCAAAAAGGGGCAAGGGAATGGGTGATATTCGAGCTCTGTCCCGAACTCCGCCTCCTTTGAATATTTAATGAAGCCCTGCACCAGACACCATCTCTATCCTATAAATAAAATGATGATCCCAAACTTTGTTAAGAGCAACACTCTCTCACCCACTTTCTCTCCAGGTTGTCCACACTCCCTCTGCGGGTACACTTCCCTTTGTCTTTAAAGAAATCTTGCTTCTCCATGAATTCAGTCTCATGTGGAGGTGAGAACCTGGACCAAGCCTAGCCAGGGGCTTCCCCTGCAACAACATCTTTCTCACCTCATGTTGATTTTGTCCCACCGGAGAGGACAGAGGTGGGACAGGAGGCAGGTACCAAGGTCGCAAGAAGAGGCAGGAGGAGAGGTGAGAGAAGTTTAGTTTGGCTTGGATTCTCTCCGGGGCCTTGCTCCTCTAATGCCCAAGCGACTGCCTCCTCACCTACAGGTGACCCGCTGGGTTTGCTGCAGTCCAGCTGTGGGGCCAAAACAAGACCCCTCATTTGCCTCAGTCTTGTCTCTGAAATGCAAATCGAGGATTTTGCGTGGTTTGAGGCCATTCTACTTGGTGGCCAACATGTGTGTCTTGAAGTCCTTAGGGAGGGGAGTTGTGTGTCAGCCCCGGAACTTCTAAATGTGGGCCCTTAGTCATACAGAACTTTTGTTTCTTCATCTGTAAAGAAGGATGACGTGTCACATGGATGCACAATGAGTCACTTTGAGTATTAAAAACAGACCAACTCCTGGCTCTCCTCTCCAGACACTCTGGTAACTGGTTTGAAGAATGACGATGGGAGTTTTTAAGTCACCGGAGATGGTTCTAAACAGTAGCAAGATAGTGGAGCCACTGTACTGGAGGTTGGCTGGGAGTGTGAGAACCTGTGCAAAGCAGGTGGTGTACTGGGACACGAACTGGCACCATATGGGATGCCAGCGTCTCAGGCAGTGGCATTACCAGCTCAGCCAAGACACCAGCCCTAACTCTAAATTTCTTTATTTGTTAACCTGGGTTATCAGTGATGTCTGCCTCATAAGACCTCTAGAGGGTTTAAATGAACTAATGCTTGCAGAGTATTATAGTACCAGATGGGATGGTTTTTGTGGTAAGATAAATTTAACACAACATTGACTATTCTAGCCATTTAAAAATGCATAGTTCATTAGTATTAAGTATGCTCATTTTGTTGCACATTTACTTAATAGATTTTGTTTGATCTTTTGTTCTAGGATCCGTACAGAGTGTACTGCAAAGTTTGACATGTTGCAAGTGTTTAAAAATCATCAACTCCTTCCCTCTTACCACTCCTGCCCTTCCTGCCCACCAACTTTCACAAATCCTAAAATACTTTAAGATTTCAGTTATTATTGTGTTTTGTTTTTTTTTTTTAAAGATTTATTGGGGCTGGCGCCATGGAGCCACCTGTGGCACCGGCATCCCATAGGAGTGCCGGTTCTAATCCTGGCTGCCTCTCTTCCAATCCAGCTCTCTGCTGTGGCCTGGGGAAGCAGTAGAAGATGGCCCAAGTGCTTGGGCCCCTGAATGGCGTGGGAGACTGGGAGGAAGCTCCTGGCTCCTGGCTTCAGATCGGTGCAGCTCCAGCCATTGTGGCCATCTGGGGAGTGAACCAATGGAAGGAAGACCTTTCTCTCTGTCTCTTCCTCTCACTGTCTGTAACTCTAGAGATCTTTTCAAAGACTGTAAGTGCTAGATTTAATATTTTTTTTTGACAGGCAGAGTTAGACAGTGAGAGAGTGAGACAGAAAGGCCTTCCTTTTGTTGGTTCACCCCCTAAATGGCTGCTGTGGCCGGTGCGCTATGCTGATCCAAAGCCAGGAGCCAGGTGCTTCCTCCTGGTCTCCCATGAGGGTGCAGGGCCCAAGCACTTGGGCCATCCTCCACTGCCTTCCCGGGCCACAGCAGAGAGCTGGACTGGAAGAGGAGCAACCGGGACAGAATCCGGCGCCCTGACCGAGACTAGAACCCGGGGTGCTGGCGCTGCAGGCAGAGGATTAGCCTAGTGAGCCATGGCGCCAGCCGCTAGATTTAATATTTTAAAAAATTAAAAAAGATTTATTTGAAAGACAGTTACAGAAAGTATGAGCGAGTGAGAGATCTTCCATTCTTTAGTTTACTCCCCAAATGGCCACAACAGTCAGGGCTGGGACAATCTGAAGCCAGGAGCTTCTTCAGGGTCTCCCAAGTGGGTGCTGGGGCCCAAGAACTTGGGCCATCCTCCACTGCTTTTCCAGGTGCATTAGCAGGGAGCTAGATTGGAACAGGAACAGCCAGGACTCGAACCCACGTCCATATGGGATGCTGGTGTTGCAGCTTTACCGACTATGCCACAGTACTGGCCCTTACTATTATTCAGTATGTGAGGAAGATGGTGGCACATGACTTAAGTTCTCTGCCTCAGTTTTTTCATCTGTAAAATGGAGAGAAGAATAGTGCCTACTTAACAGGTTTGTGATAAAGATATCACCTGTGTGAAACTCTCCAGGTAGTGCTGGCCATGATAAATACTCAATAAATGTTAGTGACAGTGAAAAACAAAGCAGGTAGCACGGCATGACAGCTCAGGCAAGGGCAGTTGTTAGGAATAAGAGGTGATATCATGGGGCATGTTCTGTGGAGTAGAGGGTAAAGCCGCTGCCTGTAGTGCCGGCATCCAATATGGTCGCCGGTTCAAGTCCCGGCTGTTCCAGTTCTGATCCAGCTCTCTGGTAATGGCCTGGGAAAAGCAGCAGAAGATGGCTTTAGAGTATGGGCCCCTGCACTCATGTGGGAGACTCAGATAAAGCTCCTGGCTCTGGCCTGGCCAGCTCCTGGCCTTTGGTGGCCATCAGGGGAGTGAACCAGTGGATGGACGATCTCTCATCTCTCCCTTTCTAACTCTGACTTTCAAATAATTAAATAAATCTTTTTTTTAAAAAATAAAGAAGTGATATCACGTTTGGCACAAAGACTTTCCGAAGGCAGTGACCAACTGTTTGCGCAGGAAGAAGGCTGAGCTGTCTTTTTAGAGAGACTATCACTAGGAAGAGGAGAGAGGAGGACTTCTGTCAGTTCCCTCCTGAAGGCGTCTTCCGGAGAGCATCAGCTCTGTACCTGTATGGTGTCCTCAGTAGCCCTCTGGTCCCTGGAAAGCGGCTGAAGTTGACTAGAACCACAAATGGCCATCCTCAGAGCCCAAAGCCTCTCTCCCGTTTCTGTCTGACTGCCGCTCCCACACCCACGCTTCCTTCCCACAATCTGCCCCTACTTCACCTAACATCATCTAGAAACAAGAGGAAGCTTCTCATCCACTTTCAGGATAAACCCACTGCCATGAGGCAGTTATAAGTTTAAAAGAGTCTACTGAAGGTTTGCAGGTCCCAAGGGGTCTTCCCAGGTCTCACTGGGGGCTTCTCTCCCTCTCCATGGCACAATCCTCATCTCAGCAAGGCAACCCCTCTCTCATGCTCATACATGAAGGTATAAGCAGATGGGCACTGTCATTTGTCTTTGCTGAGAAGGAGCATTGGTAAGACGTCTCAGGGAACAATTCTGCAATAGCTATTTAAATTTAACATGAACTTACGCTTTGCCCAGCAATTTCACTTCTAAGGCTTATCTTGCATTCATATGTGTACACGTATGAAATGAAAATTGCACAAGATCATTCCAAAGATTAAAAACAACCCACAGCGTTCAGTAGTACAGACATGTTTAAACAAACTGTGGCACTTCAAGATAGTGAAATAATATCTGACCCAGAAAGAATGAAATACGATAGAATGATTTCCAAGAGATACGAAAGCAGCAAGATTTGGGCTATTCCCACATGTATTTGTATATGCATAAGCTATCTGTGGAAGAATATAAAATGACATGAAGGAGCTGGCACTGTGGCATAGTGGGTAAAGTTGCCAATTGCAGTACCAGCATCCCAGGTGGGCATGGGTTCGAGTCTCGGCTGCTCCATTTCTGATCCTATCCAGCTCTCTGCTATGGCCTGGGAAGGCAGTAGAAGATGACCCAAATTGTCATGGGAGACCTGGAAGAAGTTCCTGGCTCCTGGCTTCAGATTGGTGCAGCTCTGGCCATGCAGCCATCTAGGGGAGTGAACCAGTGGATGGAAGACCTCTCTTCCGGCCCCCACCCCGCCACCTCTCTCTCTCTGCCTCTCTGTAACTTTACCTTTCAAATAAATAAAGAATAAGTAATGAATAACTCAATAAATGCAGAGTGACACAAAGGAAAGGCCAGAGTCAAAACCCTGAAAACAAATACCCAGATACCCTCAGAGCCAGCAGTCTCAGAGAAGCCTCTGCTTTGAGAACTTTTTGGGGACTCAGAGGCCCTGATCAGAGTCATACCCTCTATGTCCAGAGGCCCAGACAGACCAGAGCCCACCTTTGCCATTTCAATGGAAACATGTTGACCCCCATCACCAACCAATCCAAGGAAGGTCACACATGCTGTGGACCAATCAGAGGCCCATGCATGAGCTGATCAGGTTCCACTCAACCCCTGCTTTAAACTGCAAGATCCATGGTCTCTGACCTGTCAGGGAGCCTGCGAATTGTGCAATAGCTGCCTGACTCTTCGCTCTGTGCATTGCAAGTTACCCTGGTGTCACTAACAGGTTTGCTGCAGATTGGGCAGGTGGGCCTAGCTTTTTTTTTTCTTTAAAGATTTATTTATTTATTTTTAGATTTTATTTATTCATTTGACAGGTAGAGTTACAGACAGTGAGAGGGAGAGACAGATAGAGAGGTCTTCCTTCCGTTGGTTCATTCCCCAAATGGCTGCAACGGTGCTGATCAGAAGCCAGGAGCCAGGAGCCAGGAGCTTCTTCTGGGTCTCCCACACGGGTGCAGAGGCCCAAGGACGTGGGCCATCTTCTACTGCTTTCCCAGGCCATAGTAGAGAGCTGGATTGGAAGAGGGGCAGCTGGGTCTAGAACTGGTGGCCATATAGGATGCTGGCGCTGCAGGTGGAGGATTAACCTACTGCGCCATGGAGCCAACTCCTATTTATTTATTTCAAAGTCAGAGTTACACACAGAGAGAAGGAGAGGAAGAGAGAGAGAGAGAAAGAGAGAGAGAGAGAGAGTCTTCCATCCGCTGGTTCACTCCCCTGGCTGCAATGGCCAGAGCTGTGCCAATCTGAAGCCAGGAGCCAGGTCTCTCATGTGGGTGCAGGGGCCATCTTCTACTCCTTTCCTAGGCCATAGCAGAGAGCTGGATCAGCAGTGGAGCAACCGGGACTCAAACCGGTGCCCACATGGGATGCCAGCACCGAAGGCGGCAGCTCTACCCGCTATGCCACAGCGTCGGCCCCCGGTCCCAGTTATGAGGGTTCCATAGTAATTCCTCCCACCATTTTTGGGAGTGTTCTATAACAGTGATGGCCAAGTAGTAGGGTTCCTAACACCCACGTGGCAGACCTGGATTGAGTTCCTGGCTCCTAGTTTTGGCTTGACCCAGACCTGGCTATTAGGGATTTGGGGGAGTGAATCAGGGATGGGAGCTCTCTGTGTCTCTGTTTTTCTGTCTTTCTGCTTCTCAAATAAATAAATAAAAATTTAAAAATACTTAGATCCTTGTAGTTTATTATTTAATTAAAAAATTAAATGACGATGGATAATAACAAAAACGACTTAGCACAGTGCTTGGCACATAGTATTACCCGGTAGCTGGTTATTACAGTGTTATGATTGGCTTAGAAAGATCTAGTCCAACTTGGAGTCAGACCAGAGGCAATTATGACATGAGAATGTCATCGAGGGAAATATTCTCAGAGGTGCTTGCTCTTTTAAAAGGGCAATTGGGCACCTGCATTTTGATTTTGGCATTTGAGGTGGACATAATTTTTTTTAATGGTTATTCTTCAGCCCTCCAGAGTGGCATTATGAGCAGCCTCTGCCCCTCACGGGGAAATGAATGGTGACTGCCTGAGACAGGATAAAAGGAAAAGCAGCACAATACAGAACAGGAGTCAGAGCAAACGTGGCATGGCGGGCTGTGAAGGTTGCAGTTTAATGGGGCTCAATATTTGATTACAGTAGACCCCTTAGTTGCCATAGAAACAAAGTGGCCTCTCTGAAAAAGACACTGATGGAGCCAGGCACACTTTTTTTTTTTTTAAGACGAAATTAAAATGATAGCCCAGAATGGCAATGCGTGTTCCTGACATTGCTCTATGTGGGCGAGTAAATGAGGGCGTGCA